ACACTCATCAAAAGAGAAAGTAATTTACTCAGAAGAAAAATTCTTGAGAGTGCCGCCATCGAATCTTATCAAAATATAAATCTACACCCGGGTTTTTCCCAATCTCACCTGAAAGAATTACTACTTTCTGAGGCCAACATATGCAACCAAGTCAAAAGAAAAAGGTTAAATTCATCAGCTCATACCTTTGAAGTAGTGGAGCACATACATCCATCACATACCATAACAATCTAATCACAATATAAAGAACTTAAAAGAAAATAATTCTTGAATATTAATTGCTCAGTTTTTGCCTGACTTTAAATTATATCACTTTGTGTCCTCCATATGTTTTCACTGACCTTTCAATCACCTGATGAACATTCATGAATGTTCTCAAATTTAAATGCCTTGATAAACCAATAACATCCTCACCTTTGTATATAAATCCATGCAGCAAAATAAATCCTGTATTGCCTTGATAAAATTCCTCAGTAGACAAAATGCGTCGGCTAAAAATAGTTTTTTCTCGTGTTTCTTTTATTCTTATATATATGAGTTGAAAATCAAATGTAGACTAAATATGGATCAGAATCCAACAGGATGATAAGATAAAAGAACAAAAAAGACAGGTATATGAATCTAACATGTTTCATTTTATAATGTTTCATCAGATGTTGAGAGAAAACAGACACAAAGACAGAATGACTACCCACATAAATATATACACTGACTGACACATTAAAACAGAAACACACACAGACTCAAAAGATAGATAGATAGAGAGAGAGAGAGAGGCGCACACACACATACACACACAAATATACACAAACATATATGCAAACACATATTTTTTATTAAAAACTTTTCACCCCAAGCAAGGCAGGAGTGCCACTAGCATGCAAGAGGTTAAAGAGAATGGGAGCAAGGGTAAAGAGGCATGAAAGAGGAAAGGATGAAGAGAAGGATGGGGAATAGATCAAGGCATCTGGAGATGTCGATTGACATTGCATTTGAATAGTAGAACATTATAGCTATCAGGGAAGCAAGTAAGAGGAAGGGAGTTACACACAGTGGAAGTGCGAGACTTGAAGCTATTACAGTAAAAGAGACACTTAACCATTTTGACAGTGAAAGGGTGGGACTGAGATGCTGACCTAGTGGCATGTTTAAATTCATGCAGTTTTGGAATTAGCGAAAATAGCTCGTTGGAGCAGTTACCATGAAAGTGTTTGGAGAAAAGACAGAGGGAGGTGATGGCACATCTGTGAGAGAGCGACTGTAAACGAGATATCAGATCAGGGCCAACAACATTGCATATTTGTCTCTGGATTTTGTTGAGGACCCTAAGACTAGCAGCAAGTCTCTAGACCATATATGACAGCAATATTCTACGCAAGGGTGAATGGTTGATTTATCAATTTGAAGGACACATGAAGATACACAGTGAAACATCTAGACAAACACAAAACCAAAGATACATATTAAGTCAAATACATGTGAAACCTGACTGACCAATGAATATTAAAGAACATAAAAATAAAAGTTCCAATAATTTCTTTCTTCTTTTTCTCCATATCTTATTCTCTGATGAAACTTTAATAAAAGTGAAACATGTCAGATTGATAAGCATTTCCTGTTTGTTCTTTATTGTATCATTCTGTCAGATTCTGATCCATATTTGATCTGCATTTGATCTTTAACTCATAAATATCTATATATGATTAGATAAAGAACAAAAAGGAAAGGTCTATCAATCTAACATGTTTCACTTTTAGTAAAGCTTCATCAGAGATTGAGAGAAAACAGACAAAAAGACAGAAGACACTGGTATGAAGGAAGGAAAATCCTTGAGAGTGCCACCATTGAATATTATCCAAATATTAATCTACGATCAGGCTTTTTCCCTATTTCACCTTTCCTAACAGAATTACTACTCTACCAAACAAACGTAAACAACTGTATCAAGAAATCAAAAGAAAATGGTTGAATCTGTCAACACAACAATAAAAACGATATTTCCACCTGTGACAGGTGGAAATATCATTTTTATTGTTGTGTTGACAGATAAAATTCTTAAATAAATTAAATAAATTTTTATTGTTGTGTTGACAGTAAAATTCTTCCAGTTGCTAAGGACATTTTGTTTTTGTTATTATTAGTTATTTTGTTTTAATAAATTAATTTTGTTATTGTCTTGAAAAAGTCCACATTGGATGAAATGCATTGACTAAAATTACAGTTTTCCTATTGTCTTTTACATTTATATATATATATATATATATATATATATATATATATATAATTGTTCATTTAGTCAGCAATCCCTCTTTTTATACAAGTTTCATTAAAGATGACTGAAAGGTAATACGTATTGTTTTTTGTTCAATCTTTCTTATATTGATTCAAAACTTTTCTTTTCTGGACATAAATTACTAATGTGTACATTATTATTACAAAATAATGGAAAAATAAAAAAAAAGAAAAAGCCAGCACTCAATAATAGCTTTACATATCTGAGGTATTGATTGCTTATAATTACATTATTAATTACATTTTTATTTAAAGGGTTCAGTTCAAAATTCTCAATCACCTGAAGAAGGTCAGATTGTACAATGGCCAAAACGTTGTGAATATGGCAATGGAGATGAGGATAACAGTCCGAATAATGTAAATAATGTAAGTAATCATAATACCTCATGTCAGAGATATAGACAGATATATAGAGAGACATAGATATAAAGATCGAAGCATACAATGGGTGAAATGTTGTGAATATGGCAGTGAAGATGAGGATAACAGTGTGAATAATGTAAATAATCCTTTACATGTTTTGAAAATAAAAAAAACATTTACTATAGATATACCTATATAAAGATCTACATACCTGATTCAAAATAAAAAAAAACACTTTTGAAGGCTAATAAAGCATTTGAACAGTTTTAATTATATGAATGCAAGGAAAATTGAATTAAAAGATTATTCTCAATATCTAGTCAGTCATTTTAATGAAGGTGATATATATATATATATATATATATATATATATATATATATTTCAGATAGAGTATATCTATTAAAGGTAAAAATGAATGAAGACAAATGAAAAACTTATCTTTGCTGACACATTTCATTCTTTCATATATTATATATATATATCAGTTTTTTATGAGATGGACAGAAATTATGACCGCATTCACATCCGCATGCAAAAAGTTATCATGCTGAAAACTACAAAGAGACCACCCCTAACAACGGTGACACAGTTCACAGTAAGAACTAAATTCTAACTATTTTTTTTTGTGTGTAATAATCCCCTTCTTTCCCAGACTCTGAAATTACAGATTGAATCTACGGACTGTCAAGGATTACTCAGACCTTCCCAAGTTTACACAAAAATATTGTGCTTTGGGAACTTTAGCAGTAAAACAATTTTGGTTGTAAATATGTAACATTTATGATGATAAAATATGGATATCTTTCCTAAGGTGTTATATATATATATTTTTTTTTTTAAGCGTTTCACCCCAAGCAAGGCAGGAAGCCACTAGGATGCAAGGGGTTACAGGAAATAGCAAGATCAGATAGGACTGATAGGAGAAAGGATGAGGGTAGTGGATAGATCAAGGCAACTGGAGTTGTCGATTAACATTACACTTGAATAGCTGGAGATTATAGCTCAGGAAACAGGAGAAGGGAAGGGAGTTCCACAGGCGAGAGGTGCGAGACATGAAGCTATTAGAGTAGAAGAGACACAGCTACATTTAGGAGTTTCAACAGTGAGGGGGTGAGAGCGGGATGCCAGCCTCATAGGGCGCTGGAACTCATGACGTCTGGGAACCAGCGAATGCAGCTCCTCGGAGCAATTTCCATGAAAGTATTTGTAGAACAGACAGAGGGAGGTGACGGTGCATCTGTGAGAAAGTGACTGTAGACAAGATGCCAGGGCAGGGCCAACCATATTGCATATCCGCCTCTGGAGCCTATCAAGAACCCCGAGGCAAATAGAAGGGGCGCCAGACCATATATGGCAGCAATAATCCATGCAAGGGTGAATTGTGGATTTGTATAGCTGGAGGATCGACTCAGGGGAGAAAAACTTCCTAGCGCGGATCAGGGAGCCAACTTTCCTTGCAGTGGACGAGGCAATTGACTTGATGTATTTATTCCATCTCAGGTCAGCAGTCAACGTGAGACCGAGAAGCCGTAGAGAGATGCTCTCGAGAAGTTGAGCATCAGACATTCTAATGGAGGGAAGGGAAGGCTCTCTGTGGTGATTAATAGAGAGCAGTTTTGTCTTTGAAGCGTTGAAGTTGACCAGCCAATTCATGCCCCAGTTCACAATCGATTGGAGGTCCTTTTCGAGATGCACGGCAAGGTGAGTTTTGTCAGCGAGACTAGATTTGTTTTTGAGGCAGGAATAAATTGAGGTGTCATCCGCATAGATGCCTAATGAAAACAGACAACTTTAAGGTTCCATTGGTTATAATTTATTTCCTCAGGGAATTCCTTTTTTCCTGGCTCATCATACCACACTTCCAAGGGTAAGTGTGGTCTGAAAGTTGTCTGTTTTCATTGAATTAATTGCTCTGTTTTAATATTGAGCTCCCTGGATTTCATCCTCCTTGGGATTATCCATACAGATTTCCAAGATTTTCATTACTTATATATATATATATATATATATATATATATATATGTCTGTGTGTGTGCATGTGTGTGTGTGTGTGTGTTAAAGGAAGAGAGGAAATTAGTATGTTGATATGTATTATTTTATTCCGAGTTTCTTTCTTCATTCAATAATGACGCCAAAAAGCTTGTCTGTAAATATGAAAGGATCCAATTGAAAATAGATAGGCAAAACCTGTCTAAATTATTCAATGAAACATGTTTCAAAGAAAACATGCTTCCAAAATATATGCAATATATATATATGTGTGTATATATATATATATATAAAAATTTTCCTATATATACATGCTAAAATCATCTAGTTCTTTCTTCTTCCTTTTCTTTTCAATATGTCTATTTACACAGTCTTTCCATTTTATTGCACCCTCTCACACTCTCTCAAATACAGTTTTTTCTATGTTGAGCTCTCTTTTCTGTTACATGTAGAATTGTTCACATGTTTCCTCTGAATCTCTCACCTTTTCTTTTTAAATATACACATATGCTTATATCCTCTCTCTTTCTTTCTCTTTCTTGAAACTCTCCTTCTTCAAATTCTCTGCACTCACACACATTCAAATCCTCACTTTCTTTTATATCTTCCTTTAATTATACAGTCTAATTCCTTCTCTTTTCTTTCAATCCAACACCCCTCGACATAGTTTCTTTCAATTTCTTTCTCTCTTCCAACTTCTCACATGCAGATTCTCTCCCACTCTCTGTCTCTCTCTCTCTCACTTTCTTTCAATACCCAGAATCTACCCACCCTTAGATTCTGTCTTTTTGTCTCATTCTCTTTTTTTTTACTCTCATTTTCATATTAACAGATTCTGTCTCTTCTTCTTTCTTTAAACACACCACCCCAAGGATTACTGCCCTTTCAATTAACCTCTGAGAAACATTAAAATTTAGACTCTTTCTTCCTTTCTTTCATTCTTTCTTTCCATCTTTCTCTTCATCTCCACTTTTAATAAGACATTTTCAATACAAGCAATTTTGGCCAAACATCATTTGTTTATACTTTCTTTCTTTATGCATTTCCACTATTCCCATTCTTTCTTTCTTTCTTTCTTTCTTTCTTTTTATATCCACTGTTAATAACACATTTTCAATACAAGCATTTTTGACCAAACATCATTTGTTTATACTTTCTTTCTTTATGAATTTTCACTATTCCCTTTCTTTCTTTCGTTCTTTCTTTCTTTCTTTCTTTCTTTCTTTCTTTCTTTCTTTCTCCACTTTTAGTAACACATTTTCAATACAAGCATTTTTAGCCAAACACCTTTTGTTTATACTTCCTTTCTTTCTTTCTTTCTTTCTTTCTTTCTTTCTTTCTTTCTTTCTTTCTTTCTTTCTCCACTTTTAGTAACACATTTTCAATACAAGCATTTTTGGCAAAACATCATTTGTTTATTCTTTCTGCATTTTTACTATTCCCATTCTTTCTTTCTTTCTTTCTTTCTTTCTTTCTTTTGTTCTTTCTTTCTTTTTCAAACCCACCCCTTTACATATTCAAGTGTAGATTCTCTCTTCCATTTGCTTTCAACCCCAACCCACATTCAAATTATCTCTTTCTCTCTATTAACATTCCTACAATCAGAATCTCTCTTTCATTGTCTTCTTAGAATCTAAAGCCCTGCTATACCGATTCCAATCCTCTTTCCTTTCAGCTCTGGCCCTGCTCCACCAATTCTCCTCTTTTCTCTTGATTCTCAGGAAATTTCATTGCACTGTTTCCAAAACAGCCTTTGAAGAAAAAGTGCGAGCAAATCTAAGAGCTTTTGCCAAATTCCATTAGTTTTCACCTGCTATTTTACATTAAGCACCTTAATGGCAAATTAAATGCCAGGTAAATTTGCACAATTTGATAACGGTCATCCGAATGGCCAAATTACTTCAGAAGAACAAAAGAAATATTTTCAAAACGGCCTTTTGAAAATTTTTTGGTTAAGGATTTCAGAAATGTCTGTTGTTTTAAAACTGTCAATTAGTTAAGATGATGATAAACAGAATTGAAAGCTTCAATTTCAATGTGCGCATCTCAAAATAATTACCGCATATGTCCTCCAAAGACTCACAGATGCACACAAGCATACACATGTGACGAGAGTTTTCTGCGAAAGCATGCTGTTATCTGTACCTTTGATTTTGTGCATGTATAAAATATATACACACATCAAATTTATTCTAATCCGACATCCGCATACAAGTACTAACACATTATTTATAGTCATACATGAAAACATGCATCATTAGTTGCATTCACACACACACTCACACACACAAACACAGATATATATATATATATATATATATATATATATATATATATATATATATATATATATAAAAGTGGACATCTGGAAACAGTGTGATTCATGCTAAATGCATCAGGCCATGAGGGTTGCATTGAGCATTAAACAGACTATTGCCTCTGGAAATATTATCGTCAATGTCCAAATTTATATTTATATATGGTCTATCACTGATATTGAGCACCTTAACCCATAAATATAGCATACCTTAAAACCTTTTATTTATATATATATATATATATATATATATATATATATATATTTAGGTAGCATATCTTCATTCAAACATGTTTCCTTGAATAATATATATATATATATATATATATATATATATATATTTACACACACACACACACACACACACACACACACACACACACACACACACACATATATACACACACACACACACACACACACACACATATATAAACATTAAACATTTCCAACTCATCCCCATTCAATGCTATTTCAGTTTACCAATAATTCTTTTTTTAAAAATTTGGATTACCAGTAGATTTACATCAGAGTCATGTTTTAGCTTGTCTCTTTTCACAATTTCTTGATTCAGGTTCTTTCCAGTATATTTTACTTAAACAATCAACATATTTCTGATATAATGATGACACTCTGTTAATATATCCCTGCAAAACTTACATTATATGACCTTGTAGATAAACTAAAGAAAGTCAAGCATATGATAGAATTTACTTATGAAACAGAAACAACTGATACTTTGTCATTCCTAGATATTCTGTAACACTGTACTGACAATAACCTAAAATTAAGTCTCTTTTGTAAAACAAGTAATAAATATGATGTCATAAATTTCTTTTCTCACCATAACAAAATAATAGAAGAGTTATAACAAAAGAGTTATTGGATTGCTCAGAATTTGTCACCTTCAATATTTATATGAAGATAAGAAATATATTGAAAATATTTGTAACCTCTTACAATACCCTAATTATTTTATATTCAATGCAAAACTGAAGGCTTGTAAAATATTTAAAATAGAAACATGGGCCTTCCTTACAAATACAACAAATCAAAAATCTTCCTACCAATGATATCACAATAAAAGAATTAACTATTCAACCAAATCCAATGATTTGTGATATATTATTTAATTTGCCAACTATACCACAACTACAATTGAAAAGACTTTATCTAAGCTTACCATAACATTTACTTCTAAAACAATGTAAGCATTCTGAAATTAATCTGTGACAAACACTTCCTTTGCTTTCAGAATACTTACAAGCTATTTCAGCACTATGACGGACAAGACATTTGACGTCAAGTTGGTACCCGAGTTTGATGGTTCAGTGATTAGACAAGCAGTTACTGAATGGATTGAGAAGGCAGAACTTGTTTGTAACCTGTGTGGAATTAAAAAGGTCTTTCCGACAATTCTTCCACATTCAACAAAACATAGTACAAATCAGTTACAGATGCATTGAAAACATAAAACAAATAATAAAAATGCACAACAGGAATACAACCAAAAAAACCACCCACACAAATCAAACTTACATATAATTAAAGAGCAAAGAACAAATGTCCTTGAACAGCAATTGCTTGCAGAACAATGTAATATACCAAGCCACTGTAAAATCAGCAGATAACAAAGAAGAATATACATAGGAGTAACTGAAGGACCATGGAAATAAAGACACAAAAAACACACAGACATCCTTTAAAAATAGTAAATACACAAACAGCACAATGCTTTTTAAATATATCTGGGAGATTAAAAACAAAAAACAAATCACACGAAAAATATCATCTAAAATAAGGTAAACAGCATCAGCCTGCAACAATAAATCCCAAAACTGTAAACTCTGTCTAGAGAAGAAGATATTTATAATTACTTTCCTTAACCAACACAAAATATTAAATAAATGATCAGAACTCATCTCAAAATGCAGATAGAGAAAAATTGTACATTACTTAAAATCAAAAAATAAAAGCGAACAAGAATAAAAAATAAATAATAAGAAAAATAAAATAAATAAACGAAAGATAAAATAAAATAATAAGTAAAATAAAGTAAATAAATTAAGTAAATAATAAACAAATTAACAAATCACAACTAGATATATAAATGCATGTAAATGTAATAATAATGACCAACAATGAAATAATAATAAATAAAAACTTAACAAAGAACAATATAAATCGCCAAACTACATCTTGATCCACAATTATTTCCACTCAATGGCTCCCAAAATAATTTGAAATATAACCGTTATTGAACAACAAAATAGTTGTTAGAACAGTACAATAGAGTACTCACAATGTATCACTGATCTGTATCTATAAATAATCAAGCAAAAACACAATGCATATGGCCTGACAATTGCAAAGCAGACTGTCACCTCTGGGTATTGACTTAAATGTCCACTTTTGTACATACACTTACATTTTTTACATAAACTCTAAACCTGATATTGAGCACTTTAAACCAATTAATATGGCATACTATAAAACTATATTTTATCAAATATATAGATATTATATATGTATTAATATAACATACCATAATATATATATATGTTAAGGGCATGTGGCCAAGTGGTAAGAAGATTTGCTTTCTGATCATGGGACCTGGGTTTAAATTTCACCAGGGTCAATTTGCCAAGAAGCTGCCTTCCTGATGTTATCGGTTAGGTGGAGCCAATGCCAGTGTCTGACACCTTTGGATAGTGCTTAAAAACCACACCATGGATTGACCCAAGCCTTGTAAGTGAAATTGGATAGATGGAACCCTTGTTATCACAAAAGCACAAGATACAACAATAGATAGATAAATAAACAGATAGATAGATAGATAGATAGATAGATAGATAGATAGATAGATAGATAGATATGGACAGACTGATTGATAGATAGATAGATAGATAGATAGATAGATAGATAGATATGGACAGCCTGACTGATAGGTAGATACAGACAGATAGATAGTTAGATTATGATCGGTAAAGCATGTGTAATAGACTCACCCATCAATCTTTTAATGTCTAAGGGCCTAACATTTCAGTTTTTAAAACTAAACTTCTGCATATGATGCATTATAATGGTGAAAGCATGTGTAGAATGAGTCACAATTTTTTAAAAAACTGATGACTTAGAATTGATGCATAGTGTGCCACAAAGTCTGCCCTCATCAGTTTTGAATTCTGAATTTCGTCTTTTCTAGACTGGTTGCCAAACCAAGGCTAGGGAATACTGTCGGCCCTGTAATTGCACCAATCAGTGTAGATGAAAAGAGATGGATTTCGGCTTTTCCCAAAGATAGTTGGGCGAAAGTGAGTGCAACAACCTTGTCAAGAATTTGAACTTGGTTTGCTAATTTCTTCTTCTGAGCCACTAACTACTATGTAAACCACAAAACATATCGTTATATCCCTTTGTCTATATCCACATGTTCACTCAAGTATGTTGAAACATTACCGATGGGTTTAGATGTGGTTGCATTATCATCGCAATCATCTACAGCAACAGTAGCAGACTTGCAGCCATGAAATGTGGCAGGGAATATTGCTGGTGTCTAAATTAACCAACCATCCACTTCATTCTATCTCTCTTATTTTATTTTTTTTTTTATCTCTATTGTAATTCAATTTTTCTTTTTCTCTCCATGTCAATTCTTCCCAAGAAAACAGCATCAAGAACCAAATTTCAACCTCTTTTCTTTCTCTTACGAGAACCCTTAACACTAGGGGTCCAATTATGCAAATAAGACAGGAATTAAATCCTTTCCTCTGCACTGGTGGTGGTGGAAGGTGTTTAAAAAGGTGAATAAAAAGGGTTTAAGGGGAAGATGGAAGACAGGAAGGTTTTTTTAAAAAATGTGGAGAGGAAGTGTGATTTAAAAATTTGAGCTAAGTGACATTCAATATCTCCAAGTTTGTGGTTGGGTTTTAGTTGTAGGGTTTTTGTGTAGAGAAGAAGAAAGAGCATGAGGATTAATGAATGAGAAAAAAGCATTAATGAATGAAGGTGAAAGTAAAAGAATGAAAATGAATATATAATGAAGTGGGAGAGA